TTTCTTGTTCTATAAAAAAATAAATAAATAAAACAAAAAAACCCCAAACACCAAGATGTATGTTTTTAAAATCTGAAGATAAAAGTGCCTGGGAGGCTTACTTCATTCTTTTAGCTCCAGTCCACTTATGTGCATATTAATACATTCTTCCCTAACCGAGAGGTGAGGGAGAGAAAGAAAGGGAGAGGGGGAGATTTGTTTATGCACATGTGGTCATGCTTGTGTGACTTGATCAGTCCCACTATGGACCGGTCCTTCCTGAATTCGGTCCCTCTGAAACTTCCTTCTGCAGACACAGCCGCCTGAGATCCCCGAGCCGCGTTAGACGCGGGCCTCCCCGCAAGCGCCTCCGCCCCGGGCCCCGCGAGGCGCAGGATCCTCCAGTCTGTGCGCCCGGCTTGGCCCCGCGTTGCGCGGCTGGCTGTGAACCGCCCGCGAACGCCGAGCCCGGGCGCCTTGGGGGAGACTTTTCACCTAGAGTTTCCCCTGGTCCCCTTCTCTTTGTCCTTTCTGGTTCTGTCCCCAATGGGGGTCGGGGAGGGGGGGCTGAAAAATGGGCCACGGAGATGAATAGGGTGAGCTCGGGTGCAGCCGGCTCGGGGAGCTGGCGGGTGCCAGGCCGGCTCCCCTCTTTCCGCCGGCATCTGGCTGGCGCCCCGCAGCGCGGCCCCGCAGGTACTTGGGGGGGGGGGGGGAGCGCAGGGAGACTTGGAGGTTAAGAAAAACTTGGAACCGAAGTCCCACTCGGATCGGAGCTCTCCTGCAGGGACGCAGGAGCGGGGTAGGGGCCGGGGCGTGGGGCGCGCGGCCTCGGGGCGCCCGTGGTCCCCCCACCCCGGGTGCCGGGCAGGGTGCGGGGCATCTCCCAGGGCGCGCGCCCCGCGCGGCGCGTCCCGGCCCGGGGCGCATGGGCCTCGGCGGCGCCGCCGGTCTGCGCTGGGGAACGGGCTGGTGGCGTGGGGCTGGCGCTGGCCCCGGGCGCGCGCGGATCCACACACTTGGCTGGGGGAGCAGGCCACGCGGGGCAGGGGTATAGTGGAGGTCGGCGGGGACCGGGGTGCCGGGGAGGAGCATGCATGGGAACCACGCAGCTGTCTCCTCCACCTCCCTGCCGGCTCCCCTCGCCTTTGCACTTGCAGGGGTCAGGGAGTCAGGCCCCAGTGTGGACCACGGCCCCGTGGCCTGAGGGCCGTGCTCTCCCCACCCCCAGGCTCCCTCGTGGGCCCAAGGGCCCAGGCATGCGAGGAAATTAAGAAGAGGGGCACTGGTCGAACAGGGCCCAAATCCTGGGGCTGAGGATCTAACGGTCTCTAGCAGGCTGAAGAGAGCTCAGGGCCTGTTCGTCAGCCACTCTACAAACAGGTCCCGGCTGGCCAGGACCCTAGGTGACCTGAGCTGACCCCTGAAGATCGCAGGGTCAGAGGTCAGGGTTGGCCTTTGTTAATAATGTGTCTTCCCCGGAGCCTGCGCTTCCTCTCCCCCGTCCTCTAGGCCCGGGTTGGGGCTGTCTTTTGTGGTGGGCCCCCTTTAACTTCTGCCCAAACCATCACAGGTCAGAAACCCCCTTCTGCCTCGCTCCAGAAGCGGCCCTGGCCACAGAGAACCTGCCTCTGAATCCTGAGATTCGCAGGCCAGGATTCTTGTTGAAATTCTAGAAGGATATGGGTTTCTACTCCTTCCTGCCTTGCTTAGTTCCGTTTCATGGCCTTTCGTGGTCCTGGACCCAAATAATCAACCACAAGGAAAAACCAACCAACCAACCCCTTGTGGAGGCTTGGAACCAGGCAGGACTGGGAATCAGAATATGGAGAAAAGAGAAATTCAGAAGCAAAATCTTCAGTTTATAGCTGTCATTCAGGCCTGGGCTGGGGGTGAGGGCTGGAGAGAAGTGTGTGAATGTGTTTGTGTGTGCACGTGTGTGTGTGTGCACGCGCATGCGCTGAGAAACAGGCAAACCCTGAAAACTATTTCCTCTCCTCCTTCTCTTTCTTCCAAACCAGGACAGGCCTCCCGCATCCTCCTTTTCTGGATTAATGTCCCTTTGTAGTCATAACTAAAGATCCCAGATGAGTCTGCGCAGAAGGGAGGGATGCGATTTCACAATCCCAAGTCCTAATTATAGGGGGAAATTGTTATCTAACAGAAAGAAAGGAAAAGAAACTGCACTGTGTGGAATCCACAGAGGCGATTCCAATCAGAGCATCTCTGTGGAAAATGGTGCTGTGGGAGTTTCTTAAAAACTGCCCAACTCTACTGCAAATTCACATCAAGATGACTTCTCTGAGCCTTGGGTGTGCCCCTTCTATCAGCCTTGTTCTTTGAGGACGACTTACGGGACACACACACACAAAGCTTTCAATTTTAAACAATAGAAATGGTCATGTGCAATGATCAGATAACCACTGGCATCACACCTCAGCCTGAACCGTACAATCTCCCATCGGCATATTCATAAATGTCCTCCCCCTAAATTAAGATGCTATCCATTTTTTTTCAAAGCTTTCTATTTGGGTTGAGAACCCCAAAATAGTTCTCCAAAAGAAACTCCACATGTGCATATTTTTAGAGTCATGGACAGCCAAGAAACTTGTTTGCACCTGGCTATGTGAACATTGGCTCTGACTCAGGCCACTGACGAAGTGGAGTTAACTAGAGTTACTTATTCCTGGGACTCTTGCCTTCGAAGGCCTTCTCTCTCTGATTTTTCTGCTTCAGAAGGACCTGTGAAGGGTTTAGGGAACAGAAACGAAGAGCTCTGCCATGCCTTGGTGAAGGCAAGTTTAATTTTTTAAAATCATTATTAGTGAGAGTGGTGCTTTTTTGTTCCTCTCTGAAGGGTAAAGATGCTCCCCATTTGTGTGTCCGACTGAATTTCTTTATGCCCCAACAATCAGGAGACAGCTTGGGAGACTGGAATTCTCTCACCCTGCCCCTTACCTAGGCTAGGACAGGGGGAGAAAAAAGCCAGACACAGCTGGGCCTGTTCAGGGCAGGAAGGAGTACAACGATGCCAAGAGATAATACCCTTTCTCTGGGGTTTCATGTCTGGATTTTGAAGATTTATATGAAAAGTGAGAAAAACTCTTATGGGATGGTGGGTTAAAGCTCTTCTACTTAAAAAGAAAAAAGAAAAAAACAAAGCAAACAAGTCCTGATTCAGATGGATACATCCTGGACCCCTAGGAAGTAAAACCAACACAAACAAACAAATAAAATAACTCCAACTCTTTCAGCATTTTTCTTCTCTTTCCCATCCTGACAAGAAGGCATGGAGCTACCTCTCATTATTTAATCATCATTCTAGGCAATAACCCAGAAGGGTGAAAATCATAGCTACTCACTGCAGAGAAAACTTCCTTAAAAGTACCCGTGCGCCCCCCCCCCCCCCCCACACACACACACCAAAAACAAAAAACAAGACATTTCTTCCAGGAAAGTAACTACATTCTTTTTAAAAATTTTTTCAAAATCAAAGTGAATTGCAGTGCAAAGCCTTGTAAATCTGCAATACAATGTGGAAGCTGATTTCCTATCCCCTTTTCTGGAGGTTTAGGCAAGTGCTCGGGCCTCAGAGCTGAAGTGTGTGTTTTTCTGACACCCAAATCAGACCAGCTGGCTAAAGGTTGTTCCTGAAGTATTTTCATCTACCATTCAACCTCAGTTAGTCTGTAACTACCAGTAAGTAGCTATGAGATTTTTAAATATATTGATTGGTTCAGTACACTGCTAGGGTATTTAATCAAGCCAAGAGTATGGAAAATGGAAACACATTGGGATAATCAAAACAAAGCAAAGACAATAAATGCACATACTTGGGAACCTTGGAATGTGTGATAAGCAACTTTGGGTATTGACTGGTGGAAAGGCTTGGACTGTAGCAACCAGACTGCTGTGGGTCCAGTGTTCATGCGGGTGTGTGTGTGGTGTGGGGGTACCATTTGCCCTCTGCTCATGCTTTTAGCTTTAACGTTGGTGGTTTGGCAAGGGACACTTGCCAGAATTTGTGTTACCAAATAAAAGTGACTGGGGTAAAGGTATAAGATCAGTGCATGAGCACTGTGCGTTCAGTAATAAACAGAGAATTTCCATCAGGCCACTGCTATGAAAAGAGAGCTCTGGTTACTGCGAATTGACATCTAAAGAGAGGAGTTATCTTCTAGGCAGAGTTAAGACCTCTGCCTAGTTGATGTCAATACATTAATGTGTCAGATACATTATATAATATATATATATACATATATATATTTACATATATATATATATTTACATATATATATATATATATATATATATTTACATATATATATATCACTGTTTTGGTTTAAAAAAAAGCATGGAAAAAGCCCAGGGAATTAAGAGGAGGTATTTTTTTTGAGCCTCAGTGACTACAGAGAAGAAGGTGTGTGTTTAGTTAACTTGTATCTTGTGCCATACATTGTTTTTACTGACAATTCTATCTGATAAGTGACATGTTTCACATCATAGAAACAGCACCAGCTAAAAAACTAGGTTGTCCCCCTCTGCTAACACACCGCTGGCTTCTGTCAGGAGAAAGGACTCGATTTTTGCTGCTTCTGTCGTTAGTAAAATTCTCCAAAAAGAAACAATGGAGCATGGAAATGTATTCTTCAGAATGCGCACATCTACATATACATGCTTTAAAAATGCTAGCTCTTACCTTTTAGGGAACTTTTATTTCCTTACCGTGTACATTATATCTATCTACATATATACGTAATTTGTAAGTTATTTTTTACAAGCAGTATTCCAGATTGAAAACTAACACCTGTTTGCTTATGTGCATAGTACATCCAAAAGCATGCACGTGCTTTTCTATGGATCCATACAGAACACGGCTCAGTTCATTACTAGTTAGTAGGGAGGTTACACAGTTAATATCCTCCTCTGACACAATAATTTTTTTTCTGTAAAAAGTGAACTCAATGGAACTCAAGTTGTTTTCTCGGACTGTAAATAATAATAAATATAATAATAAATAGTAATGATTCATACTAATTTTTTAATGTACAGATCTCACATAAATTTCATTTGGGGAACACATCTGTAAGAAGGAATGGCCGGGACTTCGAAAATGTGGTGTTTCCAGGGGTACCTCCAGCTTGCCAGTGGGCTCAGTTCTGTAATTGGAATGAAAGGAATTTTAACACTACTTCCACAAATACTCCACACAGCCTAACTCGGGGATTGGGGGGCCGAGATTAGATTTCCTTGTATGATTCTTTTTTCTTAAATTTTAGAGACGTATTTGGAATGATGGGGGCCTGCACAGTATTTAGTTCTTTGTGAAAAACAAGCATACAATTTAAAAAAAAAAAATCATGTGTGTTTGCCACAATCTCCCGAAATCTTTAGTAATTAGTTCCAAAAAATTCATTTCACTACAAGTTAACTTTTTCTTAAAGCCAGTATAACCCAAGCTATATTTTAAAAAAAATATTAAAAAACAGGCTTCTCTGCTTTATTTTGTAATATCTGGGGGTCCAAACTGGCGTATTCTAATGAACCATCTTATGGATTTAATTCTAATCGTTTGTTATTGTGTCACTGTATTTTCTCCCCCCATTCAAGTTCCAGTCTTCGAGGATAACCGCAATAACCATATCTTCAATGTCACCTGGGGTTTGAGAATGTGTTTACCTAAAATCATTGTGGGATGCTGAGCTTTCTGTAGAAATGACAGGCCTATTCCTATGTCTTCACAGGGCAGGTACGTCTCTGTCTCTCTCTGTCTCTGTCTCTCTCAATTGTGATCCGAGAATAAAAAAAAAATCTCTGAAGCCTAGGAAGAGCTAACTCAAGCACGAAAGGGTAGGGTTTTTTTTGTTTTGTTTTGTTTTTTGTTGTTATTAAGTGGAACCAAGTGTGATTTCAGAACCTCATCTAGACTGGCACAGAAAGGAAGGTGAAAATATAAAGGGTAAATGCTGTGTCTTCATGATCAGTGAAAGGGGACAGGAAGGCCAGTGATAAACTGCCCAGAATTCATCAGTGCTGAGCACAACCTGTTTTCTTCAAAACAAGACCTTTCTTCGTGCAGTTACAATATTATCCTTTAAAAAATAAAAACGAATGGAAGAGAAAATAAAACTATCATCATGTTTGGCTATGTTTTCAAGACAGTGCTGGCTTTGTCTAACGTTCTATTTAGCCTCAGTATGGAAAGGACATGCATTTGTAACATTAGTTGCTATGAATTTGTGTCAATTTAAAGTAGGTCAGTGCTTAGGAGTTGTGGTGAAGGTAGCTGAAACCTTCCCCAAACTCATCTACAAGTTAGCGCCTACCCAAAGACCCTTTTAGGGTCACAAACCAGTTAATCAAAGCACTGCTTTCAGTCCCCAAAAACCTCATTTTTATATTATATTTTGGAGACCAGTGTGACCTCACTCATGACCAGCTTGTCTTAAGTGGAGAGAGAGACAGAGAGAGAGAGAGAGAGAGAGAGTGTTCACTAAGTATTGTCAGTGAAAGCCAGATACGAGAACTGGGAAGTAAGAAAAAAAAACCACATAGTTTTTTTCTTTTTCCTACATAACACAAACGACCTGCACAGTTAAAAGGAAAAAAAAATTTAAAAAGCAAAACAAAACAAACAACTTTGATTTGTCCCAAAGTATTTATGTACAGACTTGTCAGGCCTTGCTAACAAGAAAATCATGACATGTAAAAGGAAGAAAGAAAAATAATCAATTATAACAAAAAAGCAAAAATCGTTTATCTTTATCATTAAGTATATGTGTGGCCCAAGCCATCTTGGTGGGTCACATTTGTGGGTTCCTCTTTTTTCTACATGGGTTAGAGAACTTAGGGGTCATGATTCGAAAGTCCAGCTCAACTGTTTTATTTTTTTTTTTATTTAGTTTTTCATTTTTCACAAAAGTCCAATGATAGCCCAAGTCATCTGAAAACTGAAAAACTTTGGGGACAAAAAATAGTTGAGAGGTCGTAATTTACATCTCTATTAAATATTACTAATTACAATATGGGGCCAGACTCCTCAGAGCACAAAACAGCCTATAATTTCACCCTGAATTATTGCCTTCCTACTCTTCCATTAATCATTCCTCTGGAGAAAAAGAGAATTCCATGCAGTTGTTGGGCCCAGTTAAACTGTACGCTAAGAAATTGAGTACGGAATCAAAAAAATGCAGTTTATTATTGTAGATTATTCTTTTTTCTTGATATAACCAGAATTGAAAATGAAAGAAAAGCACATAGGAACGTCACGCATCGTTAGTTAGTAACTCAAGATATAAAACAATTTTGCACAGCAAAATATGAAAAAAAGGAAAAATAACTGACAAGATTTTTTTATATTTATTGTGGTAAGATTTGCTTTTCATTTTTTTTAAAGACAGGATGTCAGTCCCTGAAAATAACATTTACTGATTATTGCCTTTAAAACTGTGGATTTTTTTTAAGTTACAGAAAATCCAGTTTTGCACCACAATACAACTGTAAAAAAAATCTGCATCATCTTAAAACTGTGCAGTAATGCCATTTTTTATAACTGCATAAATTTTATTAGCGTTCTAAACAGTTTTGCGATTGTTTTGTATATTATATGCTTGCAGGTTATGTCTTAGTGCAATTCAGTCCCAAATATTTAAATTTTGAAAAAAAAAACATACATTTTTGAATGTAAAATACCCCTACAGATATAAACAGGGGTTTCTCCCCTTTTAATACTTTGGTTTTCAATACAGTCAGTGGTATAGCAAAGACTACACATACCCAACTTATATTAAAGTTGCAAGCACATGCTATATAAGCTACTTTTTTAAACAGTCCCCCCTTTGCAAACTCTACCCCCCTTAACATCACAACAGTAAACAATTTAGTGCATCGATCTTTTAAAAAAAATCTACAGCTACACAGACCTAACTCTTTCAAATGTATCTATAACATTCCTTTATCTGTAGCATACATTTTAACTGGGCTAACAGATTAGAAAAAACTATAATTAAATTATATACTAGAAACCCATAGCATTCCACATTTGACAATGACCAAAAGCCAAAAAATATATATATAATAATTAAACAAAAAAAAAAGAATGGGGCAGATTTCTTTCTCTCTTTTTTTTTTCTTGAAAAAATAAATTTTAGACTGCTTTCAGCAATAGCACAATTTAAATCCCCCTCAGCGAAGTGGAGCATTATTCTTAATTAAAAAGGAAGCATTCCTAAGAGTTTGTGAAATTTGTAACCCATTCTGGTATCTCTGACAAGCAATTCCTTCAGTGCATTTACTCAGGGAGGCTGCAGGTTTGAGTAACTCAAAAAAAAATTTTTTTTGGAGCAGATGCAAACTTTCATAGGAAGAAGGCTCTAGGGTTGCATTTTCTTGTTGTTGTTTTGTTTTGTTTTTGTTCAGAACTCAAAAAAAGTCATGAGGCAGTAAAATAAAAGTATGAGGACCATGCTCTAAGTCTTCCAATGTCCATTTCCAAGCCAAAAGGAAAGAAAAAAAGGAAAAAATAATTATACCATACATGTCCAGCATGCAGGCTTTTTTATTAATATAATGTCTCTTTTCCATAAAGTCTTTGAAACAGTTACAGTTCATTGTTGCTAAGACAAAGTAGCAAGCATAATAATATGTGAGATGACAGTGAGTTTTTTATGGCAGACTAAACTCTCAGATTTGGCCCCAGAGGGCCAGACTCCACCAATCACACCCGCAAGGCTGATGAAGGCTTGGTTGTGGCAGGTTCACAAGGATTTTCTTTTTCTCTCCTCTACTTTAGCATGACAATGCTAATTAAAAAAAATACCTCTTGGAACTCAGCCTGCTGCAAGTCTATAACTTTTCACATTTTTTTTTCTTTTGAGAGCTCAATCTCCCATGAAGACCTCAGGAGGAGAAAAAGAAAAAGAAAAAAAAAAAACACAAAACCCCAAACTTGGCTTTTTCTTTCTTTTATCTTGGAGGAAGGTGGGTGGAGAGAAGGAGGAAGGTGAAAAGCTGGGTAACACAGCAAGCTCCAAAAAGTAAAATTAAAGGGGGGGGGGGAATCCAAAGTAACACACACACACACACACACACGCACACACACACGCACACACACGCACACGCACGCACACACACGCGCGGGGGGGCATCCGCTCAGGAACTGAAAAAGAAGGGGGGGGTGATGCAAATAACGCCGGTTTCAAAAGTGAGCCATGTTTCACATGAAGAATTCTGCTGAGATCTTTGACCACGGTTGCAAGTCCGGTGTGGGGAGGGGAAAGGGGAGGCGGTGGTGTGTAAAAACACAAACAAAAACAACACACACAACAACAACAACAAAAAAACACCCGGACGAGCGAGCCGGGGACGGGGATGGTTTCAGCTGGGCAATCCGGGGGAGCCGGACACCCCTTTTCCCTCCCCAACTTTCCACGGCCCCCGCCCCCACCAGGAATCAGTCAGGGTGTGTGTGTGTGTGTGTGTGTGTGTGCGCACACGTGTGTGCGCGCGCAGGGGGGAGCGCGCGCGCCTGGGTGCGAGCGCGCGCGCGCGGAGGGGACCCCGGGGAGGGGGTGAGTGGTGAGTAGGGGGGGCGGGCGATCTCGGCAGAGGAGGGGGCGCGGGGTGGGGAGGGGGCCGGGCCCCCGCGGTGGCGAGCCGTGGTCGCGCGGGTGTCAAGAACTCACATGAAAAACTCGGGAGAGGACGGGTTGTCGCTGCTGGAGCCGTTTTCTCGGAAGCCGCTGCTCACCAGCTTCTCGTATTTCTCCTTGTACGCGTCCCTCTCCCGCACCAGCCTGGAGATCTCCTGCTTGAGGTGGTCGACCTGCTGCAGCAGCTGGTTCTTCTCCGACTCCAGGACGTGTCTCTGCTGCACCCTCTTGAAGCGGCAGGACTGCGCATAGCCGCGGTTTTTCAGGGTCCGCCTCTTCTGCTTCAGCCGGATCACCTCCTCCTTGCTGACCCCGCGCAGCTGCCGGTTCAGCTCGCGCACCGACATGGTCACCAGCTGCTCGTCGGAGAAGCGGTCGTCGAAGTGCAGGCCGCCGCCGGCGGCGTGGTGCGGGTGCAGGGCGCCCCCCGCCCCCGCCGCGCCCCCGCCGCCGCCGCCGCCGCCGCCGCCCCCGGCGCTGGCCGGGGCCCCGCCGCCGCCGCCGCCGCCTCCTCCGCCCGCGCCGCCCGCGCCGCCCGCGCCGGCCGAGGCGGACGCGCTGCCCGCGGCCGTCGGGGGGTGGTGGTGATGGCCGCCGGCCGGGTGGTGGTGGTGGTGGTGATGGTGGTAGTGCGGGCCCGCGCCGCTCTGCGCCGCGGCCGCCGCGATCACGGCGGACACCACGGCGGCGGCGGGGCCCATCTCCTCGCCGCCGCCGCCCAGGGACGCGCCGGCGCCGGCCCCGGCCGCCGCGGCCAGCTGCTGCGCCCCGCGCGCGTAGCCATCGAAGCCGCCCTGGAGCTGGTGGCTGTTGCTGATGAGCGCCTCGACCGCGTCCTCGGGGCTGAAGCCCAGCGCCTCGGGGTTGAGCTGCTGCGGGTAGCCGGTCATCCAGTAGTAGTCTTCCAGGTGCGCCTTCTGCTCGCTGCCCGAGCCCGGGCTGGGCGCCGAGAAGCTGGGGGACGGGGGCACCGAGCTGCAGGGCGTGCTCATGGGGGTGGACGACAGCGAGCCCCCGGCGATCAGACGGCCGCACTGGCTGATGATGCGGTCGGTCTCCACCGGTTCCTTTTTCACTTCGAACTTCATCAGATCGAAGTCATTAACATATTCCATGGCCAGGGGACTGGTGGGCAGGTCGGAGTTGCTCATGGCCAGTTCCGATGCCATCCTCCTGCCGCCGCTGCCGCCGCCGCCGCCGCCGCCGCCGCCGCCGCTCCTCCAGATGGGCTGCAGGAGAGGGGCCAGCGGGCCGGGCTGGGCGGCCAGCGGGTGAGCCAGCTTGCCGGGCTGGGGCGCTTCTAGCTCGCGCGCCGGCGATGGCTGGCCCGAAACCTCGGAGCGCGCGCACCCCCCCCCCCGCCCTGCCCGCGCCCCCCGCGCCCGCCCTCCCTCCCTCCCTCCCCCCCGCTCACGCCAATGTGCTGGCTCGCGCGCCCCGGCCCCTCCTCGGCTGGCTCGCCTCCGTGCGCGCCGAGCCGGCGGCGGCGGCGGCGGAGCGGCGGAGCGGGCTCGGGAAGGTCCTCCGCGGGCGGCGGCGGCGGCGCGGCGGCGAAGCCGGAGGTGCCCGGCCCGGGAACGCGGCGTCCCCCGCTCGCCGGCCGGGCTGCAGGCGGGGCGCGCGCGGCGGCGGCGGCGGCGGCCGCTGGGGTGCTGGAGACGCGGCGGGCGGCGGTCCGGGCGGCGCGGGCCTCGGCGCGGGGGAGTTAACACTTCATGCTGCTCGCCTCCTCTTCTGCCTGGCTCTTTTAATTTCCCCCCCTTCTCGCTCGCTCTCTGTCTCTTCTCGCTCGCTCTGTCTGTCTGTCTGTCTGTCTCTCTCAGTGCAAAGTACAAGACCGAGGCGGCTGGAGAGAGGGAGCTCGGAGAGCGTGGGGAGGGGGAGGACTTGAGTTCTTTCTTGCTTCTTTTTTTTTTTTTAAAGCAAAAGAAAAAAAGAAAAAAATAGCCCAGTCCCGGGGCCGAGGCGGGCGGCGAGCGGAGGGAGCGGGGAGGCCGGGCCGGAGAGCCGCCCGAGCGGCCGCTCCGGGAGGAGAAAAGGTTTTTAAAGCCTCTGATCCAGCAAGAAGAGTTTAAAGCAATTGCCGAGTTTTATAGCGCGCGTGACGTCAGGCCCCGGTGGGAAATTGACTGGCACTCGCGGCCAATGGGCGCGCGCGGCCGCGGCGGCCATTAGCATAATAGTATAGAAACAAGGAAACTTTTCCGAGCTGTCAATCAGGGTCCAATCAGCTGACTGTCAGCTGGGACGGGCCCGGCTTAACCCTCGCGGCGCCGCGGCGCCTCCCAGGGACGCGGGGAGGCAGCGGGGCCCTGCGCAAAGTTTAGTGCGGGAGACGGAGTTGTGTTGGGGGCGGGGGGAGGAGGTTGGTTTTGTGTTTTTGCGGAGGAGAGGCTGGAATCCGGTGGATTCCGGAGGACAAGTTCCTGGCTTTTCTTTGGAGCGCGAGGGAGGGCGGCCTGCCTTCCGACCCCCCCCTCCAGCCCGCCGCTCTGCAGGCACTGCCCCCCCCCCCCCAACGGTGGGTTCGCTTTGCAGCCCGGCCCTCCTCGTGCCCGGGCATCTGTCTTTCTGTTGCCCGGATCTGTTCTTTCTCGGAGTCTGGTGCGGGTCTAACTTGGCCCAACTCTTTGTCCCTCCGGCGGATGACAGTGCGCGGGGAGGATGCGCGGGGCGCCCCGGGGTCCGGACCGTACGCGCGCGCTCAGCCCCGCGGCCTCGCGCCCGGGCGGCGTGGAGTCCCGCGGGGAGGAAGAAGCCCGTGGGATCACCCCGCTCAAAGGGAGGTGAAATAAGTTGTTGGAGGCCCTTTGGCGCCGGGACTGGCCGCGACTCACTGCGCCGAGCGGACCCCGGGAACGCTCCGCCCGGCGCAGCCCTCGATCCCCAGCCCGGGCTGGAGTTTGGGCTTTGCAATCGCCCCCCGTCCCCGCACACACGCACGCACACGCGCACGTCCCCCCACGAAATCGAGGCCCCTGTGCACCGGGGGCTCGCGCGCCCTTTGCACTTTTACGATTCACTTAATTTTTTTTTTTCGGGACTGGATCGCGGCCGGGGAGGCGACGCGGGGAGAGCAAACAATGCCCAGCCCTCCGGGGCGCCCCTGGAAGGGTTAAACTTTAAACCGCTCCCCCCATCCCTCCAAACCCCCCCCCCCCGCCCGGAAACCCAGCGTGGGGGTGGGGCGCTTCCCCCCGTCTTGGACACCAAAGCCAATAACTAGTTCGATTTTCTAAATCGCTTCTTTGAACGCTGTGAAAAATGCATGCATATATAATATATATAGAGAGAGGGGGAGGTAGAAAAAGGAAAGAAAACCCAAGAAGGAAAAAGGAAAGGAAAGAAACGGGCAACTCTCTTCTAAGATTTTAAAGAGATAGGCCGGGCGGTGGAGGACAGACAGACAGCCGGCCGGAAGCCGAGCCAGGCTCGCAGAGGCCAGCCCCCCTGCTCGGAAGCGGGGCCGGCCGACCCCGCCGCCCGGGAGCCGCGTCTCGGGGTTCGTCTTACTTGTGTCAACTTTACGGGGAGGGGAGACGCTGCGAAGGCGCGCCTGGAAACGACAGCCGCGACCACAAGCCGCCCGGGCGCGGGGCCGGCGGACGGCGGTCGGGGCCGGTTTTTACCGCAACAGCGCCACCTCTCGGCGAAGGTCAGTGGAACCTGAGCGGGGTCCGGCGCGTGGCGGTGCGGGGCGAAGCGGCGGCTGGCTCTCCCCGTGGGAGGGGAGAGGAGGTGCCGGGGGTGGGCCGCCACGGGAGGATCCCCCAGACCCCCGTGGCCAGAGCACGCGTGAAGAGCAGAGGCAGGAGCTGGCTTCGCTCCCGTCACCGAGCACAGGCCCGGGACGGATGCAGAAGCCTGGAGGCGCTGACTCCAGCCCAGCTCTCCTTGGAGCAGAGCAGATCCCCCGCAGACGGGGGAGCCCCCCAACTTTGAAACTACAACAACTGTCAGGATGGATGTGTCAGCGAGGCTTTCCTGCGCCTGTCCACAGAAGTCAGCGATCAACGAGATGTCTCCAGGAAGGCCAAGTGCGGGGCTGTGAACTTGTTTGTCTGAGAAGGCCTCGCTGAGAAGCTGACTTCTGACACTTGGGCACCTGTGAAGCTCGCCTTTCGAACGCTGGGCCTCCTCACCCCGCGAAACCCAGCACTCAGAACAGAGCGAGTCCTTAGGTAGCTCCCACCGGTGGGCTCCACACTCCAGGGCAGACCCAGGGTGATTTCTCTGATCCTTGGCGGTCTGAGGCTTCAGCACACCCAGATATCCCCAAACTGGGAGACTCCCCAAAAGGTTGGTAGGGACATCTTAATCCTCCAAGGCCACTGCCTTGGCGTTTTCTAGACAGACAGCTGCAGAGCTGCCAGAAGTTGTTTAGAAGGGCATTTCTGGTTTGATAGAAGTACTTTGTTCGAGTGGAATGAACTGGGTTTAGTGCCAGTTCGGGGAAGAAAGTGAAGATTATGTCAATATTTATGCAACCTAAGAGACTTCCTTGCTTTCCTCCTCTTTAACAATATTTTACCTAGTAATGAAGTTAAGGGATTATAGTTTGGTGTGCAGAGGAACCCTCACTGCTGAACTGACATAAACATTCTTTCTGCTGCATAGACCTGCCCGCAGCAGCCGTTATGGGACGGCCTTCAAGTTGGTTTTTTGTGTGTGTAAAATATGAATTTATGTGTGTTTGGGGAGGATTAATTTTTGTTTGTGTGCATAAGATAATTTTTTTAAAGTCCTTTTGCATCACATGATGGTCAAGAGCTCAAATGGGATCCCTCCCTCTCCACAGAGTCTTTCTGGCCAGGAATTCTGAAACCGCTCCATTTATAAATAAACATTTCATAAACAAAATTTGCTAATGACGAAGACCATGCCATGTCGTTTCATGGCCCTGGACCTAATTGTTGCAATTATATATCATTTCTAGAAATTAAATGCCCATGTTTGGGCAGCTAACTGTATTATTATCTGCACATTTTTTATGGTTTATTTTTGCTCATGGCTGTCAAGCTGTGGTATTTTTCTTTCTCCCATTGCAGTCTTTTATACTCTCCTATTTTCCCTGGGGGTGGGGAGAAGAGAAGAGAAGATTGGAATGATTTTTTTTGGGGGGGGGTGTATGTCAGGAGTGTTCTCAGGCTTGCAACTTAATTCTCATTGTTGTCCCTTTTACTTTATTATTTAGTGACTCGTGGGGGTGTCTAAACATTTATGGTTCTCTGTTAACGCCATTTCTTTGATAACAATTGGGCTCTCTCATTTTAATTAGTACTCTTCAGGTTTCTGATTTTCTACAATTACAGCAGCCCTCATCTCCTTAGACTTTATTGCTTGCATTGTTTGTTTCACTTCTATTCAAGCCAATCTAATCCAAATACAATATGAACTGTGTTTTCTTACAGCTTAATATCCCTTCACCATATATACTCTAGTAATCTCTGTAGAACAATATACAGTAATTTAGCAACCATGCATTTGTCATTATTGACCAATTCAAACCAGTAGCATTGAAGGTTCTGAAAGCAATGAGTATTTATAGAAGATTTCTGAAGGGGAGGAGAGCCTGGGTTGAATCACATAGAAGGTTTCGAAACAGTCACATCAAAAACACAATTATAGTTTCGTGTCAGTACATACATAACAACTTCATGCCAAAAAAGACAAAAGAAGAGAAAAAGAAAAAGGGGGTTTAAAAAAGCCCTGCACGTCCAAACTGCAAAGATTAAAAGCTAAGAAGAATATATATTTTCCTCACCGAGAGTTATTGCAGTTCAAGTATATATTATGTTGGATCCAGACATATATAATCAGAAGAGAACGGAATGTATCAAGAATAGCGTCCGAGCTCTTTGTTTATATAGGAGTTTATTTTATGGCCAAGAACTAACTGTAGTCCACTAAATTCAGTATGAAGCCAAGTAAATTGATTCGAGAGAGCGCTCTGAAGTCTAGCAGAGGCAAGGCATCACTGTTCTTAGGGCTAGTGTTAGACAAATCCTTTTTACCAGTCCTCAGTTAGCAGGGTAAGTAAATCACAAATCACTGTTAGCAGATTCATGGGAGAAAATTAATAGAATCAGACGAGATAATCTGATAAGGGGGAAATTGCTGAGGAAACAGACTTGCCTGGCATTGGAGAACGAGAGACAAGAGTTTGATTACTAGGAGTCGTTATGAATAGGTGAATTATGTACTAAATAATCATCAGAGTAATTCAGCATTTATTAATTCTTTTCTCCTTAAGCAATTCACGGTTGTAAGTTAAAGCCACTCTCTCTTTGAAGACACATCTTTTATAATTTTTATTAGAGGTAATTTATTATTTGCATTACCTGTATTTACTTCGTAATTGAACATTTTGCATTCAAATTTATGTAATGCATTATGCTTGAGAATATATTTCTGCCTGATTAGCATAAATAGTCACTTACCTCATGAATTACTAACAAAGTTTATCTCAAAATATAGGGTTTTTTATTAAGTGGGACACAAACATATGTACAATAAATTCTGATTTTCCGGTGTAGTTAGAGAACAACTCACGTTAGGTTAGGGAAGCAGCAGAAAGAACCAAGCGGGGGGTGGGGGGGGGATGTAAACTAAAGACGCATAAGACTTGGAGGTTTCTGTCTGTAGGTATCATTTAGTTGGGGTGGAGGTGGGGGCCGGGGGCAGTGGGGAGGGAGATGCTGTGTCCTGGATTATTTATTGTGAATTCTGGAGAAAGAAAAGAAGCCATGATTGATGACTGTCACTCCAGTGGATGAGACCTCAAATGGAGAGGCTGGGAGAGGGGTTGTTCATGGCATTGCATTTCTGTTTTGTTGGTTTGTTCTTGTTTTGCAGGGTTTTCTTAGGACACAGGACACACCATTACAGGAAACACTTGTATTGCACAGGAGCTGTGACAAGCCGAGATGTATGCTGGGAAAGTGGGCCAGATTTTGTCCATCCTCTGGCCCCTGGTTGGCACAAAGGGGACTTTTAGAGGTGTGGGCATTGGAACCAAAGGACTTCTTTGGTTTTAGGCAATAGGCATAAATATAAAAGCATGAGGTCGACTTCCTATTCTTGCTATTCCAAATCAACTAATTGCTATTCTGTCTCTGTCTGTTTCTGTCTCTATCTCTGTCTCTGTCTCTCTCTCTTGCCCTTTCTTGAGGGCACAGCTCAGATTGTTCTTTTCCTTCAATTAGGGGCCGCTTATGATTTGTTCTTTCATTGTGATCCTTTTTTGATCCTATTCATGGCTTTTACCGGTGAGGGAATTTGTCTGCAAAGCAATCAACTCTTCAAAGACTTTTATTGTGGTGAACTCTTTTGTTTTTGTTTTTAAAGCTAGAATTTATAAACAAAAATGAAGGCTGGTACACGAAGACTTTCTGCAGGCTGAGCCTTTCATCCACGGTGACAAGGAAACAGCTCAGAGATGGCGCTGTCTCTGTGTGCACACCCTCCTTCCTGCCCCCCAGCCATGCTGCAGTTTGTACTTTGGATTTCATGTAACATTTAGCAGCCCTTGGACCTGGGGGGAAGATACGGACCAACCTTAAATACTCCTGTGATTCTGGGGAAAGTCTACCTATGCAGGTAGCTTAGGGGTTTCTCTGGGGCCTGAGCAGAAGGGTCTCTGATACCATTTTATATTTTTGCTGCTTCCTAGGTGTGGCTGGACTTTTTCCTCATGCATTGTTTCTGCCTCAAAAACAACAAATATACCCCAGCAACACCCTCAGGATCACCTCCATCCTCACAAGGTGTCCCTGATCCCATGAAGAACAGAAAACTGGGTTCATACCTCTACCTACCCTCCCCAAATAAAAATCAAAGTCAACGTGACAGGCCTTCTCATAGCATTATTTTTCACTTAGTCATGTTATAACAGAGGTGTCCATTCCTTACTGAAATCAAATGATTGGACAACACAGAAATAACTGGATCACAAACCAGAGATCCACTGGTCCCAGGCTCCCCGACAGGGCCCTGATTTGGTGTATACTTTGTATTCAATGGAGTTATCCCAGGCATAGGGTTCTTTAACGTATCTTCCCCTTCAGCACACATCCAGGACAATCTCAACAGCCAAGAGTGAGCCCTACTCGATTTGGAAGCTGAATTCATCTCCTGGAGGGGCTAGGAGACCCATGCTTCCCATTATTCTTCCAACCAATGGCAAGTCTAAATCTGCCTCCATGCCCCGCCCCTGGGCAGGGGAGTGGGAAGGTCTTTTGGACAAACTTCTCTGCTGGGCACCACAGCCCCGCTGGGCTGCTCACGTCCCATAGAAACATTTTAATTCCTTGGACGACCAGACGAAAAGAAACAACTACAATTTAGCACGGATTATATGTGTCATCACACCAACGCAGCCTGAAGATATAATTTTCAATATGTATTTTTTTTATACAAGAGTCCACAAAAGCCAAAATGCCTGAGGATCCACAAAAACCTACACACACCTCTCAAAAATCACGTGCTTGTTCTCCAGTGGAAGGGGCTCACTACTTCACAGTTTTTACCTTCTACCTCGTCTACCACCTTCCTACAGTTTTTGATGTTGTCAAGAATATTTTTTCCATTGTTTGTTTTGCTCGTCTTAAGCTAACATGCTGATCTGTGGTCTCAGGTGCCAAAGGGTCTTCTTGCCAAAGAAGTAAAAAGTAGACCACCTTTCCCTGCCTTTTGCCGCTCAGTCTTTAACCTTTCCACACACACCTCTGTCTCTTCTCATTGCTGCACAGAGAGTACAAATCTCAGAACTCAAAGGCCCACACGTAATCCTCACCACACCATGCTCTTTGTTCTACAGGATGTCTGCTCTGGACGCAGACTATAATTTCATGAGTCTCTCCAGCAGACACATAACACCAGTGACTCAGAGTGCGCATAGGATGGAGGTGGATTGCAGGCCCTGGTTTTCCTTCTCACATTTCCCGCCCCCTTGTACATGTGTGTGTTTATGGTTTTGACCCCAAGTATAGAAATACACAACAATCCCCCAGCGGATGCCATCTCGTTCATCTCAGCCTGTTTCTTGCTTGTCTAACTCTCTCTGGCCATGGGATTTGTTGCTGACTAGTTTTAATTTGCTTCCTACTTTGACACTGGTTGCAAATGAAATAGATGCATTTCTTTTAGATGACCTAACCTGTCTCAGGCAGGTCCCTCATCCGTCCAGTGGGATAGTGCCGCGAGTGGAGACTGACTGCGTCTGTAAAGGGGCTCATGCATTGAGGGCTCAGAACGGCTCATAGGTAATTACGCTTCCCTTTGAGTTGTTAAGAGGCCAGGAAAACTTGGACCATCCCAGGAGAGGAAGCCCCTCTCAGGCACCCAGTATCCACACAAAGTGACCCCTCTGGGATCATTTGAGACCCCGAAGGAGAGGAGAAAAACTGGGAGAGAGCAAGGAAGGGGTGGCTTTGTCCACAAAGAAATGTACTCATTTCCTGACTTACACACAGAGTAACCCCTCTGTACATTTATGATAACAATAAATGTAAAAAAGACCCCAAATGGACATTGAAAATCCACATGACTGATCTGGTAGACAGCATCCCCCATGGGGACACACACACACACACACACACACACACACACACACACACACACACACACTTTTTTTCTAATGAATTCTGAAGTGCCAACACTTTCTGGTGCTATAGGTAAAGCTCTCTGTTGAAGAGATTACTGAAGAAGCATTCTGCATTTCACATTTGCCTTCACCTTGTGAACCTTTGCCCTGTCAAAACACACAGCAATTGTCCAATGCTGAGACCTCAGAGGCTCATAAAAAATAGATAAAAATCTGGAAAAACTAAGCAGGAGAGCCGTGTGTGTGTGTGTGTGTGTGTGTGTGTGTGTGTGTGTGTGTGTGTGTGTGTGTGTAAAAGCATATTGGAGATCAGTTCTTTTCCTCTGTGGATTTTTTTTCCCCTCCTGTATAGATCACCAACTTTCTTGCCATTTCCTGGTGCCAATTTTAAAGCAGGAGACTTAGATGCATTTTCTTGAGTAGAGAAATTCAGTCTCAAGGGCTCACCTTTGAGTGCAACTTGTCCTCTTCCCCCCCTCCCCTGGCAGTCTCTCTTAAAGGGATTATGTAGTTTTTGCAAAAACCTCCTAGAGAAACTTGGGGACTAGAGCAGAAAGCAGCCCTGTGAGTTATTTATGACCGGCTGTGGAGAGCTGGGCTCCAGCCTGGCGTAGTCAGCGGACCCAGGTAGGGCCCCTCAGGGACCAGAGAGGCCGATATGGTGGGGACTGGTTGGGGAAGAGCCATTGTTCACTCATGGTCCATGAATTGCTGCTGACTAGAGACGGAGCCCAGGGGCTGTGGCAGTGAGACGCATTCTGGGGATACAGATGCTGAGGTCAATGCTTACATCTGCGTATTCGTCCTGTGCCCTCAGCAGAGCTCTTCACCGCCTTCCCCCAAATTCATTTCCAGGCTGCAAATGGACTGGGTTGCAGGAAAAGATCGGAACATCATCTGGGTGACCAGGAGCTGTTCCCAGCACTTGGGTGATAGTGGGAAGCAGACAGTCGGGGGGAGGGGGGGGTGGGAGGCAGAGGACCATGGACAGCCTGGCATGCTGGAAGGCTGTGGAATGGGGCGGATCCTTGTGGCCAAGACCCTCTGAGGTCAAAGCAAGAGAGCCCGGGAGGCGGGTTCAGAAGGACAGAGCCAAACCCGCCTGCATGTCCAGGCCAGAAGAGGTGTGAAGCGTGTTCCTGCCCAGGTGTGAGGTCTTGGCACTGACCTCTGTGGGCCTCAGAGTCTTCCTGGGTTAGAAGTGGGGGTGGGGAGGATTGGGATCATGTGGTGCTTACAGGCCAGGAGGCAAGGTGCTTGTCCCCGGGAGCACTGAGTCTGTGGGACCCCGTGCACAGTCGTCACATGCTGTCTCCCTGGGGGCCTGGAGTACACTAGGATTGGGGGAGTGGCTCTCTCCTCTGTCCCTGTGCCCGGCTGTAAGCTCTGTGTGTGCCGGGCTGTAAGCTCTGTGTGTGCCGGGCTGTAAGCTCTGTGTGTGCCGGAAGCTGCCTTCTTGCTTCACTCTGAAGAGTGCCACGGTGTTGCTCACCTGGAACGCTTTTCCTGTCTCTACCTTTCCATCCTCCCTCCTGGCTGAGTCTTGGGTCTCCCCTTAGAAGACTTACCTGAGTTCCTTGTCTTGTTTATTTTTGTGTTTCTGGGGATCGAATTTATGGTCTTAAGCTTGCTCAGCAATGGCTCTGTCACTTGAGCTATGCCCTCATCTCCCCTCTCCCTGTTGCTTGTTTGTTTTCTGTGTTTCAGAACAGGTTTCGCTAATGTTGTCTGGGCTGGTCTCAACTTTGAGATCCTCCTGCCTCTACTTTTTGAGTGGCTGGGACTACAGACAGGTGCCACCACACCCAGCTTACCAAACTCCTGCCTAGTGGCTCCCAGCGCAGGCCTGATGCTCAGGGGATAGCTTCACTGTGTTTGCGTCCTCTCCTCCCTTCATTTTCCAAAGTGCTTGGCACAGTACATGCTCAACATGTATACCGACGAAAACAATGAAACGAGGACTCTGGTTTCTCACTTCTCCTCTCCTTCCTTCCTTCCTTCCTTCCTTCCTTCTTTCCTTCCTTCCTTTCCTCCTTCCTCTCTCCTCCTTTCTTTCTCTCTTCCGCTCTTCCCTCCCTCCATCTTTCTTTTCTTTCTTGGAGTTCTAAGCCACACAAAATGTCCTCCCAAATGTCCCAGGAAGCCCAGCTTTGGTGGGCAGAATGACTGGTGGCTGAGTTACAACATGACAGTTCTTGCATTCACGTCCCCCTGGACCAACTGGCCCAGCCCTCCATGACCAGGGTGCTAATGTGGCTCCTTCCTTGGCCTGCATCTTCTTGAGACGGAACTGGATGGAAAGCAACGCTGAGATGTGCAGCCCTGGAGCCGGGGTGGAAGGCAATGAGTCTTTCTGGGATGAGCTTGTGGGTGTGAGGGAGATGGGATTAAGAGCCGCGTTCCAGCCCTGCCTGCTGCTGTCTACAGGGCCTGCCGCAGGCTTTCATCGCAGCCGCGTCGCCAGGGCTTGGAGGCACCTGGACGGACGGACGCTGTGTGGGAACCCTGCCGTCCCAGGGCGAAGCCTGCTCCTCAGATGCAAAGCTGCACGGAGGCACTGAGCAGCGTGTGGTGCCTGACAGGCCTGGAATCAAGGTCAGATGTGGAGGCTGAGCCACCAGCTCTGAGCGTCCTCTCCGCTCCAGCCTTCCAGGGGCTGGCTCAGCCTCTCCCGGGAGCCCCTGGCACGGCTCTGGGAAGCACTCAGCGCTGGGGTCAGTAGGGCAGAGGACTGGGTGTCTGACCTTGCACGAGGCCTCTATGTCTGTCTGTCTGTCTGTCTGTCTGTCTGTCTGTGTAGAGCAATGTCACGCAGTCCTCTGCCCACTGCAGATGGAAAGACTTTGACCTCAATTGGCTTAAATATAAAGAGACCTGGCTGGCCCGAGCAGCCGCTGGGGGCTGGGAGCAGGGGCCCTGTGGTGTTGCTGACGCTGGCTTCCTCCTCGTGTGTGAGCTCAGGACCGGGACCCCTGTGGGGTCCTCCCGGGCGAGGCCCAGGGGGTCAGTGCGAGTCTCTCACAGGCTACAAGGTCCTGTCTGGCTGGATCATTTGATGGGTTCCAACCTCACCCCTGCACCAGCCCCTGTGACAGGACGCTGGCTGCAGTACCCGGTTAGCTCAGACCTGGTCTCAGGAAGGGGGAGAGGCAGGAGCGGAGGCTCCCTGAGGGTGGCAGAGGACGGTCCCCCGAGGGACCCCGTGGAGTGCGCCACCAAATGATACCACCATTCAGCCAACAGGGACCTGAGGTGCAGGCGCCACCCTCCGCGTGGCCACGCTGGAGAGTCAGCCACACGCACTTGATGCGAAGTGTGCGGCTGGTGGTCCCCTTGCCCTCGGGAAGGAGGGACCTGGGGTCACCCCCTGAGGTCCTCCTTGGGGGTCTTTCCAAGA